ATATATTTAGTAGTAACAGCAAATTGGATTAAATAAATAGTATTTTATTTTACTTTTTGAGCATCATTATTGAAGCTCTTAGGAAATTACCGTCAGTTTATTTGGTTTTTTTTTTACTGAGTTGTGTTTAATCCAATAAATTGATATGTTTTAAAGTTGTTCTTTTCATCCTCAAAATTGCGAATAATGGCGCTAAAGAAACGTAAGACCCAGGCTATTCTACAATATGCCTCATTCCACGGAGCTAGTCCGATTTAGCAAAAAGCTCACCCTCTGGAAAAAGAAGAAGCATTATTTCAGATAGTTTGTACTCTTTATACTAGATAAGAAGATATTAGATGCATTAATATTAATTAATATTCAGATTCCTATCTCTATATACGTTTCTTCTTGTGGTGAGTAAAGGACATTTCAGATATTTTATGTGGCATTGTGCATCTTTCTTAAAATTCCCATCCCTATATAGGTTTCTTCTTGTGGTGAGTAAAGGACATTTCAAATATTTTATGTGGCATTGTGCATCATTTAGATTAACCATTATAAGTTTTTTTCTTATTTTCAGGGGAAATTCATGCTCAAAAACTTTCGCAGCGTCTTAAGTTGACGAAATTTCTACTGCACGCTTTCGAACATGAGGTACTTTTGTAAGTTTTGCAATTTGTGGCTGCCATGAGCCGTCTTAATTCGACCCAATCCTCTGATCTTATAGCTTCCACCAATGACACCACCCCTCTTTGATCTTATAGCTTCCATTAATGACATCCCCAGTTGTCTTATCTCATCACAGGACATTATAGCTGATCTTCCTCCGTTTCATTCAGTTCTTCCTTCTATGACATCATGATGTTTCTCACCAGGCTGGTTCCGTATCTTCTTGCGATATGCCAAAAATATGAGTTTATTTTTAATGATATCTTCCAACAATCTTCTTTCACATCATACATATTTTTTTACAGTGTCCATTTATTCGAAATTCTAACTTCCTTTCATCACTCTTCTTTAACGCACAACTTTTCCATTGGAAAGATAACCGATTTAAGGATTTGTTTGTTTGTTTGAAATTAAGCACAAAGCTACACAATGGGCTATATGTTCTCTGCCCACCACGGGTATCGAAACTCGGATTCTAGCGTTGTAAGTCCACAGGCATACCGCTGTGCCACTGGGGGACCTGATCTAAGGAAACGAAATTTGAATGATACTGGTTACCTCCAATCTTTCCACACAGTTATCATCTCGACCACACATCGTTAACCTTCTCTCTCAGTGATTGTATAATAATCTTTCTTGTTGTTATTTGTGGATCTTACACAATCGAATATCTGCACGTTTTCGATTTCTTTCTTTTACGTTCACCTCTGTCTTACTCTCATTACCTTCATCCGTTCCTATAACCTCTGTTTTTATTTACATTTAGAATTAAACCTTTTTTGGCACTTCTGTCATTTCCTCCTTCGGCCAGTCTTCTTAGGCGTTCGTTTTACTCACAAATCAGAATCATGTCATTCGCATATCAGAAGCTATTTGTTAATTTCCACCCCACCCACACACAATTTCATTCCTCCTTCAAATTCTTTCAATACTTCTATTCTAATTCATACGTGCTGAAAATATTGGGTGACATAACGCATCTTTCATGAATTTTCTTTCCACTTTGAAAACAATTTGTAATATCATTTCCAGCTCTTACCGCTGACTCCTACCCGAAGTACAGTTTTCAAATTTGATGACGAGGAACCCACTTTGAGACTAATAATGGCTGGAGACGGCTTGAATGGGTAATGAAGAAAAACTTTAATATAAGTTTAACATAACAGCAAATGTACAACGTTTCGACAAGGTTTTGTCATCATCAGGTACCTGATGTACATTTGCTGTTATGTTAAACTTATATTGAAGTACAGTTTGCTAATAAAACTAATAGTGTATTTGGACATTACCAGCATGACCATTATCTCCCTCTTGTGTTAGACACAGTCGAATGCTATGATATAATCTATGAAGCATATGTATAACACTTTTCCCTATTTTTGGGACTTTTCTATGATTAACCGTAGGTCTAAAATTTGGGCTCTGGTCCCATTTCCTTCTTTAAAACCAACTTGTTCTTCCGGTATTTTCCCATTATTTTACTTCCGGTATTTTCCCATTATTTTACTTCCGGTATTTTCCCATTATTTTACTTTCCATTCTATTCTTCAATATTTTTTCGAAAACCTTTTAAGTCATCACCATTTTTTTTGTATTGGCACAAAAACCGTTCGCCCCCATTCTTGAGGCCATTCGTTCGTTTTCCTGTTTATAGTCTTGTGCACTGTATCAATTCCTGTCTCTCCAAATGCTTTAAATAACTATTGATATCTCGTCAATGCTTATTGTTTTCCCTTTTTTTTTGTTTTATCGCCTTTTCTACTTCTCGTAATGTCGTTGCTAGGCTCTTTTTTTTCAACAAGGCATTGCTGTAATTCAGTTAGTGTATTAACACTTCTGCTTCTCTGTCTGGTGATTTAGACAAACTCTTACAGTGCTATTTTCATCTTCATTTAATTTCTCCATCCTATGTCACTACTCTTCCCATTTTTATTTTCTATCACATTCAATCTTGAGCAGAACTTACGTGTTATCTATGTTAGAACTTCGTACATTTCTTTGAGTTATTTTTTTTACGAATGCTACTATGAAAACTTTCATTTCGGTTGTCTTTATTGTTTCTCAGTTTTTCTTCATATTTACTGTAAATAAGCTATCTTCTTCCATTAGTAAATTTCAGTGTTTTTCTCCGATATCCACGGTGTACGAGTTCTTGTTATTTTTTTTTCTCGTTAAATTTTCTTGCTAAGCTTTTAGCTATCACCTTGGTCTTTTCCCATAATTCATTTGGAGTTGTTTGTTTCTACAGTTTTCATTAACGCTACAAACCTATTTGTGAGAGATTAACTCTATTTAGTATTTTGTTTTTCGAGTTTTAATGTCATTATTGACATTTTCTTTTTTTTCGCACTTTTAATTTGATTTTAACCTTTACATGCAACAGTTGATGATCACTGTCACAGTCCACTCCAGTTTTTGCTGTAATAATGCACGTCATTTATCATTGCCGTAAGAAGATTTAATCAGTTTGGTTCTGCTTTGTTATGTTGTCTGGTGTAAAGTTTTTTAAGGTGCTGAGCGAAACATGTACTACATCTGGTAATGTCCAGCTGCAAGCTTTTCTACAGTGCTGAGTGACACATGTACTACATCTGATTACTTCCAGGCAGAAAGTTTTCTAGAGGTCTGAGTGAAACATGTATTACATCTGGTAAATTCCAGGCGTAAAGAGTTTTAGGATGCTGAGTGAAACATGTATTACATCTGGTAAATTCCAGGCGTAAAGAGTTTTAGGATGCTGAGTGAAACATGTATTACATCTGGTAAATCCCACGTGTAAAGTGTTTTAGGATGCTGAGTGAAACATGTATTACATCTGGTAAGTCCCGCGTATAAAGTGTTTTAGGATGCTGAGTGAAACAATGTATTACATCTGGTAAATCCCACGTGTAAAGAGTTTTAGGATG